TAAAACGTTTGACTTCGATACCCATCCCAAAAAAAAATGAATTTTTTTTTCCATTTAGAAAATAATTATAGAATAATAAATTCTGACTGCATTTTTTTTTTTTCATATCCTTACTAATATTATAAATGTGAGTGACTTTGTTTGTTACCTATAATCAATTACTATGAAATTTGGTATACACGTATTTAATGGGATGGAGAAGGATATAGGCTATTTTGCATCCCGCTCAGTGAACATAATCCATCCGTGGACCATGTTGCGGGTAAAAGCTAGTTTTAGTTATAGGTTAATTAGTAGGTGTACTCTGATCACGACGAGGCTCAATGTTCCTGCAGCGTTTTCGCGCGTGTATCAATTTAAATTCTTTTTACCGTTGGAATTTTAAGACAAACAACTTAATAGCTAATCCGCGGTCAATGAGCCAACAATTCAAACAAACACAACCAAGTAAACGGACAACATTTTTAAGACCATTGTTTTCGGTCCATTGTCGCTGTATAATAATTGTGAAAGTGAATCATTCATTTTGTTACTTCTGTTTTCACAGAAAGTGTAAAAGATTTATAATAAAATCTTTTTTTTTTATTTACCAGATAAGCGTCTATGCGGTAATACATTTTGACATTGACGGACAAATCCTGAGCGGGTTTTGGTTTCTTTTTATTGTTTTATTTAGTACGTAATTAATATTAATACTTCTTGATATCTTACTAGGGATGGGTAATATTGGTACCGTTCCAATATCTGTATATTAGGTTCCTTGGGACATTAATGCCAATAACAAGGTCATGGTTTATTTCGATGTCGCCCAAACCAGTTGGATATCTATATTGTTTTCAAACGGGTTCTTAATTTCTATATTATATATTTAATAACAGAGATTTAAAATATTTGTTATTAGTTTAATATATATATATATTGTAACTACAATACATAGATATTGCTATATATTACTCATCTCATATATGTGGATTTCAGAAGTAGGGAAACCAATGAAGCAGACCACATCTAGATGGCATATCAAAACAACACATACCAGATTTTAAATTAAACCTGCAGAAATATATTTGTGAAAACTGTATTCAATTTGGTTAATTAATTTCTGCGTGATGCAAAAAACAAAGACAGACCGATAGGCCTACATAGACACATACAAAATTTTTAAAAATTATTGTTTTTGCTGCTATTGCTCTTATTAAAATCCCTTACATCAATATTTCTTAAATATCTTTCATTGTACATAAAATACTACTGTAGAGGTACATCGTCCAGTTACTATACTAGTAAGATTTATTTAAAGCCCATACTTTTCCACTATTGGGGAAAAGATTTTTCATACTTCTAGTTTTATAGATTCTTGACATAAATAAAAAAAAAAAATATACAAAACAAGGAGTGCAAATAAAGTCATTTTAGATTTATTTTTTAATAATTACCCTACATTTACAAAAAAAAAATTGAGAGGTTTCGATGATGGAGTCTGTATTAAATAGATTAATCAAATGTATCAATTTGGAATATGGCCTATCCGAGTACCAAATTTCATTTCATTTCATACAGCCGTTTAAACACGATTAGGTAATAAACATTGCGTAAACAACTGCATATGTTTGAATGTTTAGTACACAGACAGACCATAACCTAGATTAATATAACAAAAGATTTTTATTCAAATTTATGCTGGCAAAAACACAGGATATATTTAGTATGCAATGAGTAGTTAGCTATCCGTGTGATCCTTGCATAGAAGGTCCATGGGCTACCCCTTCCTTTTCCATTGGAATCGTAAAAGGCGACTAAGGGAATTTGATGGTCGAGGGATGGGCATCGGCGTCCCTTTTAAAACAATACTGAAACCCAACGAGTTCGAGTCAACGAGGCCTATGTCCATCAGTGGATGGTTAATGGCTGATATGATATGGCAAATAGCTATATACGTAAGAATAAAAATGCAACAAATCAGCATATCGAGAATGCCACTCACGCATTCTAGGTTATAGACACGTGTTCTATATTTATCTATAACGACCTTCTCGAACTTAAGTGTGCAATGCAGGTGTAAGCAAAATATACACTGTGGCATATACGACTTGAAAATTATTTAAAAACAAAACAATAATTTTTATAACAATACTAGTTTTACCTGCGACTGGAAATAATCGAAATATATTCACTGGGATAAAAAGTAGTTTTCAGTCCCCTATAGTATGTGTATATCAAATTTCACAGTAATTGATTAAATCTTTAAGGCGTCAATGTGTAACAAACAAACAAACACACTTTCGCATTTATAATATAAGGATTGTCATACTGCTAGTAATATGTACACGATTAAAGATTGTGTCCCACAAAAAAAAAAAAACCATTTCAATTGTGACAAAAACAGTTTTAACCGAACTGAACCAGACTGAACCGAATTCGATAAAATTTCTATGAAACAAAGCTATAAGTATATCCTTTAAACAATAATTATTTTACACAATAATAAAACAATAATTTTCTAAATTGGTTTACAACTAACAGAGTTATGAGGTAACAAACATATACAAATACAACCGAATTGAGAATAGGCCGTTAGTTAACTACGCGAACTGAAGTCCAGCTTAAATTTGAGCAGTCAAGTGCAGTCTCGGATTTGTTCTATATTAATTTTATGATGATTAAAATCGCTGATACTTGATCTAAGAGCAAAATCATGACTGTGATGATGATACTATCATGTATACTATATCGATTGACGATTTCAATAAAATACACTGCTTTTGAAATAAATTAATATCTATATTTATATATTAATTTTCATTCTTAAGTAATACCTACCTAAACAGAACAATTCTTATCTCTATACTTCATTTAAAAATGTATGTGATTCCGATTACAGTATCGCATATAATTCGCATAAACTAGCTAAGTGTTCCATAATTTTTATTGTTCACAGGCATTTACGCTGCGGACATAAGGTTGAAATTCCATTGTGAAATTATGGAAACAGACCAGACCCCACATTACGTATGTAAATAAACCGCGAGCTAAACTGGACAGTTCGTGAATCATACTTAATATCCAGCGAGATCAAGGCTGTGCGAGGGGCTATTGGCCTATCTAAATAGTACCTATATACCTAGTGGGGTATGAGGAAAACAAACTACAATATGTATCATCTCATAGTATACAACTTGTAGGGTTATCACTTAACAAGTTTTTGTTAAGAAGATTTGCATAAGCACTGGCAAAATAACTTACGATATGTACATGACTTTATTGCAAATGACCTTCACAAAAAGTTTTTTATCCAATATTTTTTGCAAATCTAATTAATCTTTAATAAACGATCAAAACATAAGTTGAATAAATTAAAAACAAAATATATGAACTTTCTATCGGACGATTCGAAGGTGGCAACCTTGATACGACAAGGACTCGATGCATGCTTTTGTATACTTCTCTGTATCTATACAAAGAAGTATACAAATAGTCTTTGTTATGTTTCAGATAAGGTTGTAATTTGGAAGCGGATTATGCAAATATTATTGGTGTTTCATTTTAATGTTTCTGGTATAATTAAGGTTAGTAGCATAGAAATTTTAATATCTTACTATATTACTACACTACCACGTACGTAATATGTGGGATCATATCTCTGTCCATATAATAACCCAGAAATGTACTTTTAAAGTTTTACAGTTTCAATACCAATCAAGCGTTTTTTTTAAATATCTTGTACTATGACAACAATGTATAACACTGTATAATTAAAAGTACCCGTAACCGGCGAGCGTGTATGAAAAGATTGATGAATGTGGAAGAAGCGAAAGAGGTTTGTTTAAATCGAAGCATTTGGCGTTCCATTGTTTCTGTCTACCCTAATGGGAGACAGGCGTGACAGATATGTATGTATATATAACACAAGATATAAGAAACAAAAGGGAATTACCCTCCATCTTGCATTTATGACTGAGATTTTTTTTTATGCAACTTATAATGGCAAACAAGCTGACGGCCCACCGGATGGAGAGTGGTACCTAGAGTTTATGCTATATGATAGTATGTTAGCCTATTTAGGCGTATATAACATTGTCAACTACTATCATATCGGGGGAAGGGTTTGCTAGTAATGGGTAGGTTAGTCCCCATTGCTATCAATATACCCTATCAGGTCGACGTCTACGCGGTTCCCCCTGGAAACTACCGTGTTTAATTTATCGTTGAATTCATCAAATTAGACTAACTGCAACCTTTTTATCCTCATCTATCACCTCTTACTGGTACCCTGCCGGTGTATTTCCATAGCGCATGCCATTTTCACCCATAAAAAAAAAGAAAAAACCACTATCATATCTAAATCAACTTATGAAGAACTCACATTTTTGACGGAGATCAAAATGCATCAAGTCGTTTTAATTCCTTATAATTCGTGTATATAACGAGTCGGCGACCGCGGACGGGTTCTATTTGGTTCAACCGGCTGTCTTGGCGGTGTCGTCACCGAGATTTTTTGCACTTTTTGCGCACTGTACTTGTATTATACTGTTACATAGAAACGAGACTGGCCAACCCAGCCTTCACACAGCATAACACGAGTAGGAATGCACTGAGACATCTACAGATAACAGAACAAAACCTTCTGTGCAAAAGAGATAACCCATGTCCATTCAATAAATATATGTATCCAATAAAGAATTCATCATGCATACACTGAACAAACATGGTTGTAATCCGGAAACAACGGACAGAAAACTCCGTTCGCACGTGTACAATACGACTCGACTCTCTTATCGGCGTATGTGTTTAACGAAACCCTCCGCCGCAAACCCACAGTTGAAATTTCGAAACATCCACACCTTGTGCAAACTTGGACCTGATGTGGGTCAACCGCGCGATATTATCTCGGACGGCCGGCGACTCCGATAAACAAAGAGCCGAGAAGAAAAACGGAGGCGAACGCCATCGGAAAGTTAAAAACACAAACGAGGGTCAAAACAAACACAAAAGCACCTTACACGGACGATTGTCGCCCGCTGTTGCGGGGACCAGTGGTGCAAACAGCGAGGTCGACGCTTCCATTCTATACGCGCGTAATCACTGCCACCAAATCGAGTAAACACACAACACAACGTTCACTGCAGCGGCGCGGACATTTCGAAATGCGAAATTGTCGCCGGCGCCGCCGGTGCGCGCATACGATACTATCCGGCCGAGTGATCGCTCTCAGATAGCGCGTTGCCGCGAAAAACACGCGTACGCGCACGGATTTTCACAATGCCACTGTTTCCCGTGCGCGCGGGCAACGGCGCGGCGGCGCGCCGTCAATTAGCCGTCACGGCCTCCGGCGTACTCGATGATCGAAATGACAATAATCACTGGCGGACACTCGCCGCGAACAATGACCCGCGAGTAAGATACTGTTTAAGGTTTACATAACTCTTTCTTCACAACAATTGTACTGTGTTACTTCATGGTACCAGTTTCAAGATGTTCCGATGTTTTTTTTTATGATCAACTGCGACGAATCATAGCGGGATGGAGATCGTAATTTGTAATGATTAATACAAATTGGCGCGAGCGATGACGGCACGGCGTTCTTGATGCGAACATTGCCCGGTATACATATGAATAACATGTCATATTCCAGAATTGATATTACTTCGCTAGAATTCATTAATGTAACGACATTAAACTAAAACAAAACTAAAATGTTAGCAACGTTGTTGATCTAGTGTTGTAAGCCAATGAACCTAAAAACTATACTTTAAAGACGACAACTGCAATAATTACTCATATGTAAAGAGATCATACTTATTATAACGCTGATGATAATATTTTCCCTGTTGTAACTTGTTAGGGGCCCACCCAACCCCACCGACTTCACGAGCTCTGCGAACTGCAGCCCGACGAGACTGTGTGACGCAAAGCGCCGTACTCCCTTTGTAGAAGACTTACGAATAAAGTCAAAATAATTGTCGAAAACGATAAACATAGTAAATTTATAAAATTCCCTTTTTATATATATACATATATATACAAATAGACATGAACTATTATTCCACTGAAAATCAACGTTTGCAACATTATGAATGTTTATACAAGTTAATATCACAAAAGTAAGAATATATTAAAATTCAATTTTATTAATATTAAATTTTGTATATAAACAACAAGAATATTTCGATATAATTATAGTATGAGTAGTGGTTAAATTGGTTAATTCAATGACATATTAATTTACCTATCGATTGATTTCGAATTAATTTAAATTATTTGAAAACTTTTAAAAGAGTCTTCTACAAATAAAACTAAACATTTAAAAAAAAAAAAAAATGACACACTGTGATCCTTTCATACTACGGGCAAATTGACGGTTAGACATATTAAAAATTTTTTGTAGTTTTTTGTCCGAAATTTCTTTAGCATAATTAACGATTGTGCCTCACAATAAAATCCGTCATTAATTTAAACCAATTGTTTTGATTTAAAAACTAAACTACTGAACCGATTTTGATAAAATTTCTATAGGTAAAAAATAAGGTAAAAAACAAAGTACAACCGAACTAAGAACTTCCTTTTTTTTGAAGTCGGTTGATAAACGTTCAGTCTGACTAGCAGTACACTTCAAACTTAAAAGAATGCAATTATTTTTAATCACATTTTGTAAACCTGGACGTGAGTTATTCGTTATGTATGAAATTAGGAAACATCAGGGGGACTAAAAAGTCCATATTGCACGAATCGTAATGGGATTTCCTTTTTATAACCCACTGATGTAAATATTCTACTCTGTTAATATAATGCTCTCAATGTGCGAGTCCTATTAAATTTGGCGGGTTATGCAAAGCGAATCCTATTATAATTCCTGTAATGTGCTTTTTAATCCTCTAGGGCGTTCGGTGAATCTCTAGATAATTTAAAAAATTGGGTTCGAGTTTTTTATATATATATTATTAGGGAGACAAACGAGCAGACGGTCCCTCTGATGGAAAACGGCTACAGTCGCCCATGAACACCTGTAATACGACAAGCGTTGCTTGTTCGTTGCCGGCCTTTTAAATGTTTATGGGCACATTTTAAAACTGCTCATATTATATTGTAAAGGGAACAATTGAAGACGGGAGCTCATTCCACAACCTAAAAATACGCGGTAGTAATGAACGGGATGCAAGGACAGTTGTACCATGCCATGCACTCAAGAAATGAAGGTGAAATCCAACTCTATGGCGAGAGGTACAATAGTAGAAATCATTAGTCAACATGGGATCATCGACATCTTATACAGCTTGACGCTATAACGTCATATTAGGGTGCTCCTATCCAAAGATGTGAGCAGTAATCCATATGTGGGCAAATTTGGGCTTTGTAAAGAAGGGAGTCTATACTGAGGAGTTATACTATCCTTTGCCTTGTTCAGAACCCCAAGTTTTTTAAAAGGCAGTTTCGCTTTCTCCTCCAAATGACCCCTGAATTGAACTTCGTTCGTAATATGAAGCCCGAGAATTCACATGCTTTTAGATATCTTAAGAGGAGTATTCAAGAATTTATGTGCCACAACAAACCAGGCCGTCTTTATTGTAAACGTACAGACCTACATTATTGAGGGATTAAAAGGCACTAAATTACGTTTCCCCTATTCCTAGAAGAGCTCCAGCTATGCCCCAACGTTAAACACCGTCTTTTACTCTTTTTGAGGTGCCATTCCTATAAAATTAACTCTAATCTGATATTTTGGCTTGATAGTTTTGCGAAATTACGATTTTCTTATAGCATATATTTTACATATTAATAGTAGTTTTGACTTAAGTGTATTAGAAGTTCATACCGGTCCTTAAAATAAAGATTTCGCTGTGATATGAAATTGAATTTGATTTTAGAAGAAGGTTCAAAGAAACGGCTTTTTAGAATTGACCAAATTTTCTGACATTTTCCAATCTTGGCCTTGATTCTTGAGATGAACACGCCGTATTAATTTATATAAGACCTAAATTTTTATATAAAAAAATATTCAATGTCACTCATAGAACACTTACTTTATGTGCTAGTATAATAAATGTAAGTTATTCTATGCCTATATCTAAGATGTTTCCTCGCTATGTATCAAATTAGGAAACATCAGGGCGCGTTCGGTGAATCTCTAAATATATGGATACGTTTTTCGGCATTGTCGATTCATGAATAACATTATGTATACATGAATCCTATTATCTTGCGACTACTCACAGGCGTAATATCTAAGAAAGTAAATAATTGTATTTTCGTTCCTAATTTGCATATACCTTCTTGTTTACAATACAGGGGTATATTGCTGTCAGTTATGTGGATTATGGTGATTTATATGGGCCAAGCGCAAAGAGTAGGATTTATTCTATTACCGACTTTATGGTAACGACACGTCTCGACAGGTGATAAAATTTCTAAAGTGAAATATTAATAAATGTTGCATTTAGATTATAATTATAAAAATCTAGGAATTGCAATATACAAGGGGTATCGTGGACGCTACTCTATAAAATTTATGGTGCAGTTCATGTCTATAGACAGCCGTTAGACATCACATTATACTAGGAAGGTTATCTTCTTTGCCGTTCCTAATTACATTAAAAAAAATATTTTATTAAAAGTAACATTACAAAATACTACATAAATAAAATGTCAATTTTTTTTAGAAATACATACAAAACCCATTTAAATTCACGTGCACATGAGTGATAAATTAAAACGTAATATAAAATAAAATTAATGTAGGATTAACACTTAAAAAAATTCTGTCGGTTGTGTAAAATAACTATCAAAATCATTTTACAATGTGTGAAGATATTGCGTAACATACAAACAAACAATACTTGCTACTTAAGAAACTGCTATTTTTTGAAGTAGTTGAAAATTAGGTGATGCGAATATGAACATGAAATTCCCAGGATAGTAATGTAATGATAGGCATATGCGACGTTGTTAAAGTATTCCGTCGCAGCGATGACACTATGAATATAATACGACGGCTCGTGAAAGTTCGCGGGCGGCGGGATATTACACGAGGTACGTTAATTAGCGTTGGAGTGACGTCATGATGTCGCGACTCGTGTTACCTGTTATACTCCGACGTTGCTTTTAATATTATACACATGTAAGTACATTTTTCTATATAAAAAAATAGCAATTTTAATAGTTACAAAACACCTTTTGAATACAGAACACGGAAAGGTGCTCAAGTAAACTTCTTTTAACCGACTTCATGTAGAGAAGTTTTTGTTCCACAAGGAAAAATGAACCCTTCGGTCGACATAAAATTAAAGTAGGACCAAGACGATAGTAAACTCTATCCTTTACAACAAGAATCTTCAGTTCCAAGCTGCAGATTTGGTAACGTAATCACAAAAAAAAAAAACAGAAAAATTTGTAAACCGAACCTCCTTTGGAATTATTTTAAAATAATCTGTGGCATGATTTAGATATTCAATATACTTAAATATGACATTTTTGTTTAACAAAACAAACTGTACTAAAATAATTGTAGATAAATGAATTGAACCTTTATCTACTGGTATTTAATAAATTCTAATAAAATTTCGCAAAAGCTCTTACGAAACGGGCGTATTTAATAAGGGTCCTATCACCATACAGGATTCAACAAACCAACAAGCCTGGTGGACTTAAACGAATAGCAATAAGCAAACAATGGCTGTCCCATTCGAGAGCGGGCCACGCATTCAATTAACAGAATAGGATTCAAAATTGGCGTTCATAACGCTCACAAAGTTAATTAAAATATCCCTAATTGCGCAACGGCGACAAACGTCGCACAAACTCTGTCCCACGTTGGGCGCCAAAGCGTACCGCAATGTTTGCACTTTATTAGAGCAAGTTCCTCCACTGTTTGCATACAAGTTTGGGCCGCTTCCGTTTTATTTACCCTCTGTTGGGAACGTGCGCCAACTTGCCCGGCCGCCTCGCGAAATCTCCGATTCACCACCCCGCAAATATATGTCCTAGGTCGCATAAAATAAAAGATACACGTAACAAATGGGACTGGAAAGCGAATTAACTGGAATAACACAAGACATACATTATTTTGTATTTCAGCCGTGAAGCAACATGGGAGGATTTCCGTTTAAATGGTGTTCGATAAGGTAGTGATTTTATAGGGTACAGAGGCAATGAAGCAGTTTTTAGAAATAGCAACACCGTTATATTTATTCTGTGACAGAGTAAAGTATGACACCATCCACGTTCCTGTCTATAAGC